TATCTAAGAATATTTTTTCAAACGGTCTTGAACTTGTTGAAGTAATTTCCAATGGTTGTTTTACATGTTTATTAGTTATTTTATTCTTTTGACATGACGTACAATTTTTTACGTAATTTTTAACATCTGATTTCATATTTCTCCATCTAAATTGATTTTGTATTTTCCTAATTGTTTTATTTATTCCCAAATGTCCCCCTAATTTTGAATCATGAAATTGTTTTAATATATCTAATTTTTCTTCTTCCGTATATTCGACTTCGCCTGTGCATATGAATATCTGTATATCGGTTTGTCGAAATACGTATCGTATCATTGACCTAGTTATTTCCCATTCTAGGTTATCTGCCTGACCTAATTTATTCATTGCTAATTTTTTGATATCATTTTCCTCACAAAACTGTTTCGAGTTCACTAATGTCACATATATATTTTCATGCGTGGTTAATTGTTTATCTCTATTTTTAGTTACTAGGAACATTATATATCTATCTTCGTTTTTAAAATATTTAATATCGCCTACCATTTTACTCGGTGGCAATAATTGATTATTACTAAATTTTTCTTTTAATATTTTATTAATTCCTTTCTTAAAATTATATTTTTTAGCTATTTCCGACACTAAATTATACTCTACTGGTACGTTCATTAAGTCTCCTATTGTTTCATGTACTTTTCTATTTATAATTAATTGCGTTTTCATTTTATCAATAAAATTGGAATAATTGTCATCCGTCATTTCTGAAATTTTATACATTCGGCTTAATGCATCTACATTTGAATTTTGTCCACCCGGTTTATATTTAATCTCATAATCGTACTCTTCTAGTTGTATCCGCCAACGCGCTAATTTAGATAATGGATCTTTTAAATTAAATAACCATTTTAATGGTCTATGATCACTCAAAATAATAAATTTCCTCCCGTACAAATAAGGTCGAAATTGTTTAACACCATATACTATTGCTAAACATTCTAATTCAGTGGTACTATAATTATTCTCACTTTTGCTTAGAGTTCGCGACGCTTAAGCTATCGGTAAATCTTTTCCTATTTCTCCTTGTGATAGAATTGCTCCTAATGCTTTATTACTTGCATTAGTTGTTAAAATAAATGGTTTTGAAAAATCTGGATATTTTAAAATTGGTTCTGAACATAATGATTTTTTAAGTGAATCGAAAGATTTTTGACAATCTTCGGTCCATTCGAATTTAGTATCTTTTTTTAGTAAGTTTGTTAATGGTTTTGCCTTTGCACTATAAGATTCTATGAATTTACGATAATAACCTGATAATCCTAAAAATTATTTTATCCCCTTAACATTAGTTGGTTCCGGAAAATTTAGAACTGCCTTAACCTTCCTTTCGTCTGGTTTAATTCCGTGTTCTGATATTACATGACCTAAGTATACGCATTCTTGTGTTAAAAATTCGCATTTATCCGGTTGTATTTTTAAATTATGTTCTCTTAAACGTTCGAATACCTCTATTAATTTATGATTATGATCTCTTAAATCTTTTCCATATAAGATTATGTCGTCTAAATATACTAAACATTTTATTCCGATTAATCCCGATAATACATTATTCATTAATCTCTGAAATGTGGCTGGTGACGTTTTCATGCCCATTGCCATTCTTTTAAAATGCCAATAATCTTGATTCGTCGAAAATGCTGTTAATTCGCGAGATGATTCGGCAAGTGGTGTTTGATAAAATCCCGATGTTAAATCTATGACGCTAAATAATTGACATTCGCCCAATTGATCTAGTATTTCAGTGATATAAGGATATAAGTGGATGAAATTCATTTAATGTTACTTTATTTAGTTTTGGAGACGTATATGTCTTCATTATTTGAAAAGAAGAGATCTAAGATATTCGAACAATGATTTTGTGTAAAATTATATTGAAATAGTTTTAATAACATAATTAGTTCTTCAAGTACCTCAGATTTATTAGTTTTTGGACCATTAATTCTAGCATGTAGGTCAGTGTTATCCCAATAAATACCACTTAAATTATTAATAATAATTATAATAATAATTCAACAATTCAATAATAACTCAATAATAATTCAATAATAATGTGGGTATTTAGTTAGAATTTTTTTAGGTGTCAATGGTTTTTTTTTTTATGAACATAGAATGTTTTCGTTTCTTTTATAAAATTGTATCTTAAAATAATATGGTTATTACAAAATATATGCTTACAAACAATTGTTGATTGAAGACATGTTGTTGACTGAATGATCCGGCGGAGTATCAGCTATTCAATGGAAGTTGAGAAGTTGAAGGACTGCAGGTTGTTCAGCTCCTCGGTGGTTCCGATGTGGAATTGCCTTCTATTGAATATCCTACCGACTGCGCCAATTTTTGTTACGTGCCAACCGTTTGATCCGTTAATTCAGTTACGTCTCAGTCAACGCTTGATTGGAAGTGTAGTCAGGAATAATTAAGACTTTTTTTAAAATAATTAAATTTATTTCACTCATAAAATTATCTTAACTACAATTTTGTAAATATTCTAGTGGTAGAAATTATCTAAGTCCTAACAAAATTAATATTAAAATATAATAAAAACATAATAATACACAGTCTTGAATTACATTGAATAAAGTGATTTGTACATATTTACATAATAAAATAAATTGTTATACCTAATAATTAGTTTTTTATGGTTTTTTTTACATATTTCCGTTTAGCCTCGCGTTGTCAATACTTTAAAAAGTAGTAATTATTTTAAGTTATTTGAATCAATTACAATTTATTCCGTACAGTCTGAGTCAGAATCAGTTTCGCCTGTTATAGTCATAACGGTTGAGCCCATGTTTTCCATGACATCGTAAACAATAAAATCGATTTCCCAAAATTTGTCTTCTTGCTTTATGGTGTGCTCGACAAAGTTTTTCCACATATTGGGAGTGACACGTTCAACGCCATCAATTAAAAGTTTATGAACATCAGATAATTTGAATGTCGTATTGTTCATTTTAACATGGTTCTTCACTGACGACCACGCGAGCTCAATAGGATTGAGCTCGCAATGGTATGGTGGTAAATGAAGTATTCCAATGTCATAGTTTTTTACAAATTCTTCAATGACGTACTTATCGTATCTAGGCTTGATCCGCTTTACAATTTCCAATAAACGTGGTATAATCATAGGTTTTTCGTATGCTTCACCTTTTT